ACTGAGTAGGGAGTTCGCATAGCTCACCAGCCAGTACAAGACAAAGATGGTGGTGGTGAAAAGCTGTGTGTGGCAATTAGAGGCTGGGCTGGGAAGGGCTCAGGAAAGGGAGGCCTGGCAGAAAGAAGACCAAACCAAGACATCAGACAGAAGCAGTATTCATCCTTGCCCAAACTGCACCCACATGGTGATCCACCCTGAACAAAAGGAGGAAAAAGGTACCTATACTGGGGAGAAGGCTGCAAGAGCAGTGCCTGGATGGTAACAGGAGATGCAGCCCTGCCTCAAGAGGCTATGTAAAGATGAGGTAGTGGCAGGAACCACAGTGGCAGCTGAGAAGGGGGATGAAGGCAAAGATGCTGAGGTGGGAGGTGTGGAGCATATGCATTAAAAGGCTATGAAGGAGTGGGGTCCACACTAAAGATGCACCCACAGGGAAGTGCTGCTAGAGATATCAGAGGGGGCAACAGTGATTGCAGGTTTAAGGGAGCAGGCTGGAGAAACAGCACCCACAGGGACAACACCAAACACCCTGAATAAGAAGAGCCAGCCTCAGTTGCTTTTGCAGATGGCATGACAACAAAGATGGGGCTATTCCAAGAGTAATCAGAATAGGAAGGAGTGGCAGAAATTCAGGGAAAGCCAGAGTGAGAGTTGCCCTGTTGGTGCCAGAAGAAAAAACCTGAGACACTGAACTGGGAAGTCCACAAAGCAAGGCAAGCTCAGTCTGAAGTGAGAGGAGGGAATGTCTACCTTTTTCAATGGTAAATGGGGCATGATACTGGAGAAAAGACTGAGAGAAAGGGCAAGATATTTATAAGTAACCTGCCAGAGAACACAGACTGGTTGATTGTTGAGAGATTGTTCAAGGATAAAGTTGGAGGGGTTACTGATGTAAAAATATGCAAAGAGGCTGGAGGAAGGCCCAATGGCTGCGCAAAGGTGGAATTCAGAAATGAGGACAGTGCTTGAGAAACACTAAGGACTCAAACTCAGTGGAAGCTTGCAGGGAGGCCTTTAGATATGAAAGGAAGCTGGTGGAGGTGAAAAATTTGGGAGACCTCCCAGAGTATAGGAGCACTAGCTCCTAAGTCCATGTGGGGTGGTAGGATATGAGAAAGGAGGAAGCCACAACTTATGGTTACAGAAGGGAGTCCTCCTGTAAGGAGAAATAGGACCACAGCCTGGGGTGGGAAGGAAACCACCTGCTACATGGCAGCTGCCAGGTCTGAGATCTGATGACCTGTGCCGATTCCCGTTGGTGCAGGAAAATGAGGAGGGCTTCAAACATGGGTTTGTAACAAGGGGTGCGTGCAGCAGAGAGCCTTTTTTAAGAGAGAAAGAGCCCAGGAAGAGCCTCAGGTTGGAGACAATTGTGATGGAGAAGTGGCAGGAGAGCTGACCCAGGGAAATAGGGACTATGAGTGCTCACTGAAGAGGTAGTTTCTCTGCAGTAGAACAATGCTCACATGAGCAGTAGGAAGCCTATTGCAGTGCCAGCTGCTCAGCTGTAGGCTGGAGCCCTGCAGGGGAAACAAGGCATTGCTGCAGTTACGCTACCACGGAGACTAGTTAGTGAGCCCACTTAGATGGCACCTGTGGCCAGTCACCTGCTGTCAAAAGGGCAGGACCTGGTAGAAAAATAAGCCAGGGCCTGAGCCAAGGTAGTCTCTGGCCCGAGAGGCTGAAGAGGGGAGAGATCTGTGCTGAGTTATTGTTTGCTGAGAAATGGACTGTGAGAATGCTATGCCTGGTGATAGCAAGTGAAGGGCTGAGGGCTAGCAGTGGACTAAGGCCCATGGCTGGATAGGAGTCTTGGTATATAGCCAGGAAACTGGAGGTTTGTTATAGTCTGAAGGCACTCATGCTCTGGGGGGTGGGAGGTTGGTGCTTTAATTCATGCAGCTCTGACTACTGCTCAAAGTAAAGTACTACCATATGTCCTGCATCAGTGTCACTGTACTTAGAAATGGTAATGGGAGCACTTGAACGAAAGCTCATTCAATGAGTGCCCCTGCTGCCACTTTTAAGCATGGGGATGCTGATACATGAGACATAGGAGGCTACAGAAACATGGCAATTGCCATGCTCCAGACTCAATTAATTGAGTCTGTTCCAATGCACTGGGATTCTAATACGTTGGGACAGCCTCTGTGCTTGTATATAGGTGGCCAGAGTACTTAAGTTTTTTATTTTAGTTTTAACAGGTGGCCTGCATTTAGGACTATTGGGGGAAGGCAGAGGCCCCAATAGTGCCTGAGGGCATGAGAGTGTCCAAAGCCACCTCGGGCTTACAAGGACTAAAGGCCTGAACTCTTCTGAGGAGGACATGACCACAGAACTTGGGAAAGACTGATTGCATAGGGAAAAATTAGGAATAGGAGGGATGGTCACAGGTTCAGCATAAAGGCACTGGAAAAGTATACTGAGACAAGAACCCAGGGAGGAGTCAGTAGATGCCATCCTTAGGAACTCTGCTTGGACCCTGTGAAAATTAAGTATTAAAAGAAAATAGGCCCCACAGTTGCAAAGAACTTTCTGGATGAGTATCTACTTGTACTGGTAGGTGGCTACCTTGAATAAGGACATCTTATGACCCTGTCAGGCCTGGGATAAGAAGTGCAAAGAGGAAAAGACATGGAGGGAAAATACTTCTGAAGAAGCTGGAAGAGTCTAGATGTTTTTAGGGCAGGCACTGGGGAAGACTGAAGAGTGTCTCCCATGTTCCTGTGCTTGGGGCTCCCCATGGGAGCTCCCAACTGTCTCTTGTGGGCAATCGAGCTAGAATGAAGTAAAGATTGATCTGCTGAGGGCCTTGTCTTCCCAAAGTGATGGGACATGGAGATGAAGCATATGGGCTTTAGGATGAGCATGTAGAGATGTCTGGGTATGGCTTGGAACCTAATTAGCTGAATGTCAATAGATTTAGGGGAAGGGGCCAGTGGTACTGACTTCTTAAGGGCTAGTCTTCATAGTTTCATGCTGTTCAGACCACTATGGTTAGGGCTGCCAGGCTCTGGAATGGGCTCCCAAGGGAGATGGTGCTCTCACCTACCTTGGGGGTCTTTAAGAGGAGGTTGGATAGATATCTGGCTGGAGTAGTATGATCCAAGCACTTGGTCCTGCCTAGGGCAGGAGATCAGACTTGATGATCTGGTCGGGTCCCTTCTGACCCTAGAAACTATATGAAACTTGGTAGGTGACATATCATAAGTTTCTCAGGCAAGTCAGTGCTTAAATAATTGTGCCCAGAGCAAGAATAAACTTTGCTCCACCTCAAAACCCAGGCTTTTTAAAACTAGCAGCCTTTTTTTTTTTTTTTTTTTTTTTTGAAGGTGGGAGGACACACTCTGCATGGAGCACAGTTGTATACCAGAAGCCTGTAAAGAGCTTGCTATTTGTGATGCAACGTGGCTTCTGTCGGACCTGTTAAGAGGCCTAGTGTCTTGTCAGTGGATCTGTAACTCCTACTAAGGCTAATCGAACAAACCATAGAGAAGAAAGCAAACTAAGTCAATGGTTGGACACTTAAAATTATCCAGAAAGTGTTTAAAAACCGTCCTAAAAATCAAAAACCTGTAACTCAGATGTTCAGAGTCAAGACTGCCTGTACCACCTGAATTCAGCCCTCTTGTAACAAATCCAGTTGTTTACACTGGACACCCAGGGCGATCCCTGTGTGTAAGAGTGAATGAGCAATAATTTTGACATCCGCTGCAGAACTCCGATTTTGACCTCCCTAGACACTCCTCCGTTGACCTCGGGTTCGTTCTGAGGCAAAGGGGAAAAAAACTAAAAGCCAGTCTGAATGGGGAAACTGGAACAGGAAATCTTCCACAACCTGGGCTGTTAACTATGGCTTAAAATGGGGACTATGGATTCTTACCTCGTTACCCGGATTAGTTTTTTGTGACCCCCTTTGTTCCTACTGGTTTGCTGCTCATTTGCTCTCGTCTCCTCGCAGTACCCCGCTCCCCACTCTCTTCCCACTTCTCTGTCCTTCGGGCACTGCTTTTTGCACCTTGCTCACAGCAGCTGGTGGAGTCAACTTGCGTTGCTGAAAGCTTGTGCGACAACTCGATGCATCTTATTTGGTCGGTAAAGGTGCGCACCTATCCTGCCTTCTGACCGACTTCAGACTAACCTGCCTCCGCCCCCTCCCGCGCTGTGCCCGCAAAGCAGACCACACCTGGGGGCCCCTGGGCTAGCACAAGGGCAGCTTTGCTGGGGCAGGTCACCCCCTGTGCTGGGAAACGCAGGTTTCGTACAGGGCGCAGGAACCTCGGCCACGCATCCCCCCTGAGCACATCGCAGCCGCTCCAGCCCTGCTGCCCTCTGCCGAAGGCTGCTCACGATCTCCCCCGGGAGGGCGGGCTCGTCTCGCAGGATGCGGAGGGACGCGGCGGAGCAGCCCGGCGGCCCGCTTGCTGCGCAGGGCCGCAGGTGCA